TTTTTGAAGTGTCTTTTTTAAAGAAGTAGCCACGATATGCAAGGATAAAGTGTGGCTGTCATAAAAAATGATTTTTGATGCAACTCTAGTCATGCAAAATTCCATATGTATCAATCTCAAACTGTTATAGAAAAAAATCTTAACGCAGTCGCTGCGTAAGATGAATTATAGTATATAAAATAAACTTATGTAGGAAAATACATACAGATAGTCAGTATGATTTAGATTGCAAAGATCAGAAAATACCACAGAGCTTGCAGCCCTTTGATTATTAAATGGCTTTATTACACTCCTGCGACGCGGTTTATGTGATAAACTTGTTTCATATACTATAACTATTACATAATGTATCATTTTTATTTGTTGAGAGGATAAAGAAGGAAATTGAAATAAAATCACATGAAAAGTACTGCAGTTTACATTGTTTGGGAGATGTAGGAGTTTGTAGAGTGGGTGACGGGTTGGTAGGGACCAATCAATGTGCCGAATACTGTGCCTGGGCAATGACGATGGAATGGTGAAATCGGGATGATACGATGATGATTCAAACGCGATAATACGGTGGTGAAAACGCAATGGTATCGTGTTGGTTTAGACCCAGGTACACGGTCTGTAATATGACATGACTATACAGTATGGTTCAATAAAACATTCATTTTTTATCACATACCCGTGCCGCTTTTGCGACTCGGTAAAAATGGTATTGCACGGGCTTGCCGCGCATATATTTTAAGGTGACGTCATTTGCGTTATATTTATAAAAAATAACTTTACAGTAGCGTTATACTATAAGTGCGTTTATGAAAAAAGTTCTTTTTCACATTAAAAAGTCTTTGTTTTGGGTACGTGATAAAAAGAATCTTTCAAAATGCTTGTAAGTTTATTACTGAGCTTATTGAACTCGTTGAGCAGTATATAATATTATGCTCGCCAATATTATATTGCATTGTATAATTTTCTTACATCAGTAAATTGTAAAACTCAACATGAAAATAAAATAATATGTTTTAATTAAAAACATACCTTCAAAAGAGTAATACTTTTCCATACATGGATATTTTTTCTTGGTCGGTAAACCCTCACATTTTTTAAAAAGAATATCGATGTTGAATAACAAAAAAATAAATTGGCGCGGAAACAAATAACCGCATTCGACCATCAACAAAACGCCGCATTATCTCTCGCACGCTTCTTTAAAGGGGACTGAAAATGTCTTTACAGTTAATAAAAATTAATGTACATCAACGAAATTTACTTTAACGTGGGTCATTTATTTTAAAATGCAATCTGTTAAATAATTTAAGAAAATAAATAATCTAAGGTAGCTACCTCTCTACATTCCTTCAAAGTAATATCCCTTGACCTCCACCTCTTTGGCAGGTCAACTTTTCCCGTTGCTAGGCAAACATTCTCAAGTATCCTCACTTTCGCGCCACGGCAAATTCAAGTTCTTCTAAATCGTTATACTGTAATGAATATCCCTCATGTCCTGTTTGGGGAAAAGGTCAAAGTTACTTGGACGTATGCCCGGGGAATAAAAGGGACTGTCCAGGGTTTCCCACTCATAACACTCTGGTAGTGTCGTAACACCGTGTGGTCTCTTCAGGGTCTCTTGATTCTTGATAAGAAGTCTTGTCCTTCCGACTCAAACCTTGGAAATAGATTGTTTACCAGTTCCAAACGAAGTTCTGTTTGATCTGGTGTTAAATGATGTTGCACCAATCTAGCGGAAACCTTTCTCATTTTCAAACGATTGCGCAAATAGTATGATCTGACCCTACACTTATTTTCAACGCATGAGCACGTTATTCTTCGATAAGTATCCAACAAACTTTTTTAACTGTACTGTACAGTATGATAATCGACGGTATGTATACCTGCTCGGTGGTCATCTTTAACGCACTCCCTGTCATTCTTGAACGCATTCACCCATCTCGTAAATTGACGATACGATAGAGCAGGTGTGCTGCACGCTTCTTGTAAAGCATTAAACATTTCTTTTGCTGTTTTATTACGTTGGTATTAAATTTTGATGTAGCCACACTGATCCTGAGACGTTACCGCGGCCATTGCGCTAATAGTGACGTCATAAAACACCTTGTTATGATGACGTCATTTAATATGACGTCTCGTGACTTTACGCGCTAGTTGCATTTTAATAGGAGTATCTGCAAGTGTTTTTTTTACTTACTTCGTAAATTATGAGTTGCATTTTATATTGAATGACACTCGTAATGAACCAATTTATTGAATTTATGTTTATTTATGTTATATACAGGTCATGTTTATCTAGTATAATACAGCAACGAAAACGAAAAAAGTCACAGGGTGCCAAGTCTGGAGAATACAGAGGATACTTAAGGAGAATCTCTTTTGTTTCCCGAAAAAAAAATTACAGTAGCTCCTTTATGTGCATAATCCTTTATAATACTAGGATGTGACAGAACGATGCCTCCAAGAAACAAAATATTGGACAACAGTTCCACGGGTATAATAGAACGAAAATCTATTCTTTGACTTGGCAATGCATAGTCCGACGAACAGTTTTACGTGGCCCAAAATGTAAATTATTACACTTGCCAACTGACGTAAACTAGTAAAACCAGCTTTCATCACCGGTCAGAACGTTAGAAAAACGGCGACCGACATACTTAAGAAACATTTTTGTTTTTATAATTTTCGAGCGCGTTTATCTCGCCTCTTCTTCTGATCAGATGTTATCAAATATGGTAACCGTCTCGCAGTTATTCTTATTACATTCAAGTGATTCTTCAGAATCGTATGAGTTGACCGATTTGATATCCCTGCGATATGGGCTATCTGGGTTGGTGAAAGTATGACATCTTTGTCAATGATAAGTTTTATTTTATGAATGTTTTTTTGCCAGTAACTATGGGAATTTTTACCAGATTTACAGGCATCTTAAATTTACTTGTCTCCATTTTTAAACTTCTGCATCAACCTCAAAACAGCTGTATAAGATAATGCATTGTTGCGATAAATATTACAAAAACCATAAATATTTATAGCATCAGTTTCCTAGTTTTGCGCGAGCTTTATGTAAGCCCGCGTTTCAGTACCATCACCAGACAAATTTTACGTGATATAACTCATGTAAGGTATTTTTAACGTGAATAAAATTCTTAATCGGTTAAGCAACACAACGCGTATCCACCCACATTTGAAGGCCCTGCCTTTCAATTATACCGAATTTTATTGAGTTTTTTTGGAAAAATTTTAAGTTTTATTTAATGTTTTTTGTTTCCCTAAAAGGGAAAATTTTTTACAAAACAAAAATTTTTAATATATGTTTTAACTTTTCTCAGTTTTAAAAAAGTTGAAAGTTCCAACTTTTTTTAAAATCATCTAAAGGTACAGTTTTTTAAAGGGAAAGTACGACAGACAGACGACGACAGACGGGGGACACATTTAGACCCCTCTGGTGTACCAGTAAGGGGGTAAAATAAAAATTTTAAAAAACCGTTTTTTATTGATCTGCGGAAAAAATTTTTGATAATTAAAAGTAATAACAGAATTAAAAGATTCCCATTGAAAAAAATGCGGTCAAAAAGTTATAGATGGATCCAAATATATTGTTATTTTTGCATTATTTTAAATCTTTTTGTAACCATAGCAACCAGATTTATTTCAAAAAATAAAATGTTGTCATCTATCCATATTTCAGGTTTCATAATACTTTTTAAAATACGTTTTGAATTATCATGGGATCCAGTTTTGCGGACGAACGCATTTACGAAATGATACTTATGTGGCTACAGGAACAACAGGTAACTACTTTTTCTTTGATGTCATTCATTCCCTAAGCTTTAATTGGCTTTTTTTCTTTTATGTGGCTAAAAGAACAACGGGGTGAACATTTCAACCACATAAGTACTGTGCCGTTAGGACAGACAGATGGACAGACAGCGGCGGGCAAACTTAAAGTCCCCCGGTAAAACCAGTAGGTTGTAACAAAGTCTAAAACCCACTACATGTATACATTACCATCTTTCAAATAATTTTTTTTTCTTCTAAACATCAATTCATGTTAAAATGTTAAATGCCATTCTTTCCTTTCATTCACATATGTACATCTGTTCAGACAAGTTCAATTCAAACAATTATTACTTAGTTTAAAATTTTTTTTATGTTGATTTTTTAAAAATTAATAAAATAATATTCTTTAAGAGAAAAATAAAAACGATTAATTATTATTGATAGTAAATTTATTTTACCCTTTAAAACTTTGCTGAAATTATTTATTTATTTGTTTTTTAAATATTTAGACTACGGTATTAACCGTCGGGGTTTTTTTTTTGAGTGGTTAAGGGCATTACTGCCGCAGTAGTTCCCCAAAATCGGTTCAGGAACTTTGGATTCTTTCATTATGAAGCAGTACAGCTAGCTAACGGGACGTCAGCGGTTCTACTTGGATGCCCGCTCATGCCCGAATAATGCCCGGAGGGACTCCTAAGGTATTCCTACAATTTAATTAAGTTTAAACTTATGTATTTAAGCTGGATTGCGAAACAAGTTTTTTAACTTATATTAATATATATCACTTTCGAGTCCGCTCCCTGGAACTAACCAGTACTGGTGCCATCTGAGGAACCATGGCCCGAGTAGGGCTCGAACCCATGATCCCTGGGTTAAGAGGGAGACACCATAACAACTAGGCTACTGTTCCTTTTTCCCTATAATTTAGAATGTGCACATTTTATTGACATCAACTGTGACAATACAGCTCTATAATTTATTACGTTATGGCATTGATACGAGTACGAATGAACTAATTATACAAGTTATCAGCAACAGGTATTTTTTTGCTCGAGACATATCTGTAAGACCAGAAACAGGCCCGAATTTGAGAGAATTCTGAATCAAATTCACCCATTTTCTTTACCAATGTGAGGGATAGTGAACATGTTTACGCTAGAAATATCAACAAAGCGACGGGTCTTTGCAGATAATTACTACACAAGAAAGGGCGAAACAAATACTCAGATAAACTCCTCTTTATTGTTGATAGATATAAAAACATACATTTTTAAAATTTAAAAATTATTTGATATATAATCAAACAAGAAAAGAAATCTCGAAAGATAAAACGTTTTCAAAAATGTCACACTCAAAAATAATGCAGAAATGTGCGGCATGGGAATTGAAAACTCAGTCTTGTTCCTACATGGGAAAATGATTTACATTGTATTAAGATTATTTAAATCGATTTGTTTTGGGTGAGGAGGTTGGGATGGATGAGTGCACAGACTTCAGATGCATATTCTAGTTGTGATCGAAAAACGGTCGTGATTGCATTACTGAGCTAACGTTTATGGTAAGACGTACGTGTATATAGCAAATGGTTTGGTCCATTTGTTTTTGGCAGACCTGTTTGTGTGTTTTTTCTCATTGTAAAAGGGCCGAATGGATATATCGCATTATATATTCATGCCAAGGTATTTGAATAGTATAACTGACTCGATAAAAGTTACACGGAGAGACTATTTATGTTTCCTCCTTGTGACGTGGATAAATTATCATTTGGAAAAGTTGAGATTCATGTCTCAATCTACCTGACACTTATCTATGGTATTTCAAATGTTTTGATGGGTTAATATCGACTTGCCCAGGCGTTTTGGTAGTACACATTTCAGCACTGTATTCAATGATTTTCGAAATACATATATATCTAAGACAAACATAAGAAAAGCAATAACGGAATGACCAAAGCCACGTTAGTATCTAATCCATTCTTTGCAGAAATACTCTTCTGTTGAGCTAGGAATTCATGAGGACATGCGTCTTTCACCACTGTGACGTTCAAATCGAATATTTTTTTCGTCTTATACTTGTCAACGCTGTTCGAAGAACATGTAAATTCCTGGTACTTTGTTTGTGCGCCCATGCAAAACGATGGAGAGTCCTGAAGAAGAGGTCCTAAGCTGGAACAGTCACATTTGATGGTTGTTTCAGTGGTGAACAGGCAGAAAGGTATATCGTTTATGTTTTTACATCGATTGACTTTACTGATATCTCGAGAGACATCTTGCTGTAAAGGGTTACGGGTGAAATCCACTCTAATAAGTTGGTCAGAAACACAGAATTGTTCTGGTATTTCTGTAAACAAGTTGTGCGATAAATCAAGCACCAGCAATTCAGGAACCCTTATGCCATTTGGTATCCTCTTCATATTATTTTTGGCCAATAAAAGACCCCGGAGTGATTCTGGAAACTTCGTATTCGGTGATAATGTTTCAAGGCGGTTTTCCGAGACATCTAAGATTTCTAACTGTTGCATTTTATAAAGATCTTCGGGTAAATAGTTTAGTCTGTTCCCAGATAAATCCAATGTAACAACATTTGTCAAACTGCTTACATCTCCCGGAAACTGTTCAATGTAGTTACTTTTAAGAATGACGCATGTTGCTTTGCTTGGAATGCTGGGAAAAGAGTTTAATCCTCTTCCTTCACGTGAAAACCATTCAGCTTTACCAAGACAAACAGCCTGATACTTGTTGTGTACGCATTCCCTGTAGCCATAATTGTCTAACGAGTTTACCGCTGTAGAGGTCCACATCAGGACGATGATAACGGCTTGTAAATTTACTATCATTTTCCTTCTGCCTAGAATAAAAGAAAAGAGTAACATATGTAATTGTTAACTAGATTTTCACCAGTAGGTAGTTGTATTTTGACCATTGGTTTTGTACTCAAGACGTCATTGGTTTTAACATGTATTTACTTTAATACTTTAGCCACGTAAATCTGTTCGATATGTACCGAGATTCAAAACGAATTATCAGCAAAAACAACCAAACGTGTGGACATTGACCAGGCAAACATGGATCTGTTAAAAATGGCCTGTGATGCTGATATTGTGTCTCTGAGGTGTCTTTGCATTTTTTTTTTCAAAATAAGAAAATGTAATGTTACATAATTATTCTCTATACTTGTATTTGGTTTAGTACATGGATCTTAAAGAAGGCAGGACTTTTTTTAAGTAACACTTTTGTTCCTAAAATTGCAAAATATGTATGCAATGCAACTCGCTTTGTTATTTTTATTATATACAGATATCTGATACATATTACTTTATTTTTTTCATCTACAATACAATATAGCACAAGCGAGTTGTAACCACTGTCCTTTAGTGTATAAGAATAGCGCGGAAATGTAACATCTTGCGGAGACAGTCCAACCCCTGGGAAATGAAACGTCCTGCGGGGAGTCAAACCTGGTAAATGTAACACCTTGCAGACAGTCAAACCCCTGGTTAATGTAATATATTGCGGAGAGAGTCAGGTGTGACATCTTGCAGAGACAGTCCAGTCAAACCTCTGGTAAATGTAATGTTTTCCAGAGACAGTCCACCCCCTGGTAAATGTAACATCTTCCGGAGACTGTTATCCCCCTGGTAAATGTAACATCTCCCGGAGACTGTCAACCCCCTTGTAAATGTAACATCTCGCGGAGACTGTCAACCCCCTGGTAAATGTAACATCGTCCGGAGACAGTCACCCCCCGGTAAATGTAACATCGTCCGGAGACTGTCAACCCCCTGGTAAATGTAACATCGTCCGGAGACTGTCAACCCCCTGGTAAATGGAGACAGTCACCCCCTGGTAAATGTAACATCTTGAAGAGACAGTCACCCCCCTGGTAAATGTAACATCTTGAAGAGACAGTCACCCCCTGGTAAATGTAACATCTTGCGAGACAGTGAACCCCCTGGTTCATGTAATATCTTGAAGAGACAATCAAACCCCTGATAAATGTAACATCTTGCGGAGACAGTCCACCCCCTGGTTCATGTAACATCTTGAAGAGACAGTCAAACTCCTGGTAAATGTAACATCTTGAAGAGACAGTCACCCCTGGTAAATGTAACATCTCCCGGAGACTGTCATCCCCCCTGGTAAATGTAACATCTCCCGGAGACTGTCATCCCCCCTGGTAAATGTAACATCTTCCGGAGACTGTCATCTCCCTGGTAAATGTAACATCTTCCGGAGACTGTCATCCCCCTGGTAAATGTAACATCTTCCGGAGACTGTCATCCCCCTGGTAAATGTAACATCTTCCGGAGACTGTCATCCCCCTGGGTAATGTAACATCTTCCGGAGACTGTCATCCCCCTGGTAAATGTAACATTTTGCAGAGACAGTCAAACACTTGGTTAATGTAACGTCTACCTGAGATAGTCAGGTGGTAGACTCACCGTGAATACCCGGCACTGCGCTTTAGACATATCTCCTGCTATCTTGAACAACATTGGCTCGGCAGTGCGGGGAAATATGAAAAGTAAAAAGTCGGCTAATTTTCTTCGCTATCTCCCGTCCTTCCACCAGGGTGGTTGGCCGTGGTTACAACTCGCTTGTTCATAACAATTTATGGAAAATAAAACCACGATATAACAATAACTCTACATAAAACACAATCAACAATTGTCGTTGTGAAAAACTTAAATGGGCCTTTATATCCTTCCGTAGGACAACAAGAAACAAGATATTAAGTGAAATGTCGGACAAGCTAACAGCTTGAGTGTTTGAAGTAGAAAACAGATATGTAAACAATTGTTCAACAACAATATATATAAAAAAATTATACTAAAAGATATGTATAATTATTCCCATATAAGCGACACTTTTTAATTATAGTTTATGCAATATATAACAGAATTTGCTTTTTTTATCTCCCATGTTGTAACCCCAATACTGGGTACAGTGTATGATTATAATCTTTAGATAGTAGGTGTTTGAGCTTTGATGGATTATAGTGTACAGAAGCAAACGTAATTCTAATTTTGTTGCAAGTTATTGAAAAAGACAAAAGAAAGATCAAAACGCCAGTTGTTTGAGAATACAGAGATTTATGTAGTACATATACAAGTAAATGATTCAATCTTATTTTATCCTGTAACAATGTGGGTTCAAAATAAAACTTAAATGAGCCGCGCCATAACAAAACCAACATAGTGCGTTTGCGACCAGCATGGATCCATACCAGCCTGCGCATCCGCGCTGTTTGATCAGGATCCATGATGTTCGCTTACAAACCCTATAACAAGTAGAGAAACTGAAAGCGAACAGCGTGGATTCTGATCAGACTGCGCAGGCTGGTCTGGATCCATGCTGGTCGCAAACGTACTGTGTTGGTATTGTCGTGACGCGGCTCAAATAGAATAAATATATTGAATAAAGGATATATACATGTGTTAGTTTTCAGAATAAAAATGTGTATTTACTCCACAGATAAGCCCATTTATCTTCTGTATATCACTTGAAAAATTAAGTTAACCTGGGTGAGCTCAAACTCAAAACTCAGGTACCTGATAGGTCAGAAACTGGTACTTGTTGACCAATGATTATCCCGAGATCTGTGAAATGTCTCGTAAAAAGGTTTTCATAAACTCGAGACCATTACTTTGGTCCTATAAACAAGTTGATTGAGGACATCACATGCACCTGCTACCAGAATTAAGCAGATTTACTAATTGGCAAAAAGGACTAATATTCATATACATTTTGTTGTGCTTAGTAGAATTTTTATTAATTCTAATACTTTATTAAATCTTATGAAATATTTCTTTATATAAATAATAAAGGATACTTACAGGTTACTAAAGTTCCAATTCATACAAAAACCCCAGAAGACAGTTTGTTCATCAATATGGCAAAATGATTTGATTATTAAACATTTATGCAGTAGTAATACATATAATCTATAGTGATAAGTTGAAAGGAAGACGTATATTGACCTACTTGAATCATAAGCAAGATGACAGATGATGCGACATCCTAGTGTCACAAGTGTTTGGTAGCCAAAGTCATTAAAAAACAACTTAAATATGAAAAAAAAAGATGATATAAACTTTATGTTTTGTCTATCCTTAAATCTTAAGATGCGGATAAACAATATTATTGTCTACTTATATGGTAAAAGATGGAGACATATTTACAATCATCCCAGTCAAACTGTCGTCATTGTGGAGTCATTCTCACATGTGCTTATATACAGGCTACAGAGTACATAAATGTCTACATTTATCCGTACATGTTAGACTTAACCGAGTCTTGTCATTTTGGTTTTGTTAATGCTTCCGAGGGATCACCCTTTTTCCAGATTTTCGGTACATTTTTTTTATTTTCAGAAAGAAACATATAAACGATATATTAAATGTATCAAGTGTAATGAATATGTCAGAGAAAGCGAAGAGGTCCACTGTTTGACAAAAAAGATGGTGGGTTTCATACACCCACTTTTCCTCCTACATTACTAATAAAGAGTTGAAGATCCAAAGTTTATTTAAAGATGGTACTTATGAAATGCAGTAATTTCTGCATCATTTATCTTTTCTACCGGCTTCAGGGGCTCATCACACCCTTCGGCTTCTTATAGCGACAGTATATACACACAGGCATAACTAACTTTATTTACACCAAATATTTACATACCATTAGAATTAATAAATAAGACCATAAATTAGAAGCATATCTATATCATAGTATTGCAAGCAATCCTTAAGTCCCTAACCTGTTATAACTGCAGCAACATTCTAAAGGACCATTGGTCATTGAATTATGCCATTGAATGACATGAATGAACTTAAATCTTTTGAATTCTTAGTTTGTCTATATATCTTAGTAATGTGTTAAGTATCCCTGCTTAGTAAGGAAATTATGATTATATAACAGATGATCAAAAGATCCAATTTTCTAAGGATGAATATATATAACTAATGTTTTAACTTTTTTTCTAAATTTTAAGTAAATTTGTTGGAAAAGTTCTTTAAAAGTGATCTAAGGAAACAGTTTTTAGGAATGGACAGAAAGACAAACTGACAGAGACTCTGAGGGTTAATCTTTAAATATCCCTGGTTGTTACCAGAATATAATATTTTAAAAAGCTAAATTATTAAACTAAGAGGAGATAACTCTTAAAATAAAGATGCTAGACTTATGAGCATTGTCATACATATAACAAAGAACGATTATCTTAAGTTTAAAGAAGATACCATTTATAGTCACAAAATGGAAAAGTGAAAAATAACGATTTTCAAGTATACCATATATAGTAACAAAGAAGAAAATTTACAAAAAATCAAGTAAATTTAAAGTTCAAAATGAAAATAATTATGGAAACCCATGTCTTATAACTCTAATCACATATGAAGATGTTGATAATGAATGTCTATTTTAAATATGAATTAAATCCATGGAGAAATAAGAAAGTTAAAGAATGAATTAGAAAAAAATCAAAGTTTAAGGAGATAATTTTGGAAATATGGATGCTAGATATATAACCCTTGTCATATTATTATGATGTGGGAGTTTGAAGTAAATGCTATAAGAAATGAAGAAGTTTGAGTGAAAAATTAAAATTTCTAGAAAAAAATCTAAGTTCAATGTCGATAGTCAAGCTAGAGTATTGAACCTTCTCCCAAATGACTAGAGTGATAATAAGACACGTATATATGAAGTTTGAAGTAGATACATGTTATAAAAAAATCATCATTTTTTCATGAAAATTCTAAGTTCAAGGGGGGTTAATTCTGATAATCTTTATGCTAGATTTGTAAACCTTGTCACATATGATGTGGTTGATGACCAAAAAACATACATTTTAAGTTTGAAGTAGATACATTTAAGAAATAAAGAACTTACAGTGAAAAAGCTTAAAAACTTGAATCTGAAATCTTGCTGAGGTTGGTGAGTAGGACAGCTGTCAATATAATCCATATAGTCAAGATTAAAATGATGTGTTGTTCTCCATACTGCCATCTATCCATTTTTTAAGTTTCATAAAAATGTTTTCACTACTTTTTGAATAATCACAAATATTGTTATATTTGCCATATTTTAAGCCTATTTGTTGCCATAGCAACCAAATTTTTTTTTTCAAGGCAGGAAGAAAAGGAAAAGACATGCATAATCTCCAGACTGCCTTCAGCCCATATTTCAAGTTTCATAAAAATGTTTTCAGTACTTTTTTGCCTTATCACTGGATCCAGTTTATGTATTAAACAAGCAAATTTGTTGAATTTATATCCCCCGCCGAGTACTGGTTATTACTAACACAACAACTGAAGACATAAGGCTTTATTTATATAGTAATCATGGCATAAACAGTAATATTCTTTGAACTTGATAAATATTCAGGGCAATAACAGAGCCATAACTTTGTGTTAAATAGTAATATCTGGAAATGCCAATGAGATGTATGCATACTGCATAACTGCATAACTAATCAAGGGCCATAAATAAGTTATAAGTATCTGACCGGAACAAGGCGACTATATGCACATCTCCTCTTAGTATCCCATAAAGTTTCAACTGAATTCCAGCCAGTATTTACAGAGAAGTAGCAGGCAAACGATTATTGCTCTGGTTGTATACTGCATAAGTTATCAAGGGCCATAACTCTGAGTTAAAGTGTCTGACCCCAACAAGGCGATGATATGCGCATCTTCTCTTGGTATTGAAGGTTCCCATAAAGTTTCATTGAATTCAAGCCAGTAGTTGCAGAGAAGTAGTGCAGAAACGATTTTTTCTCTATATGCATACTGCATAACTAATCAAGGGCCATAACTCTGAGTTAAAGGGTCTGACCGGAACAAGCCGACAATATGCCCAATCTCCTCTTGATATTGATGATTCCCATAAAGTTTCGTTGAATTCCAGCAAGTAGTTGCAGAGAACTAGTACGGAAACGAAATTTTGACGGACGGACGGACAACGCCAAAACTATATCCCCCTCCCGATTCCATTTTCAGTACTTTTTGCATTATCGTGGAATCCAAATTTGTGGACAGACGGATTGACGTCCGGCCGAAATGGAATAAGGGGCCATTTCTTTTGTTTAATAGAGGGTCAATGGCCCCTTACTCTATTGCTACGGAATGAACTCTATTGTTCTGTTTACAGATAAATGGCCCCCTATCCCCATTCGGTAGTGCGCAAAATCAGACGGACGGAGGGTAAACCTAGTCCCCTCCGATTAAACCAGTAGGGGACAAATAAGCTTTTTGAGTGCCTGGTGTGCCAAACAAAATCCACTGATAACCCAAATTATTTAAGAAACAAAAAGCTATTTTATTAACTGTTAATGAATAATAGAGTGGTTGCTTTTAATTTGCTATTTCTTATTATTGAACATATCTAAGGATTGTGTTCTACTATTTTGTGCCCTATTTAAGTGTAGGCAACTAATTAGACATTAACTTATTTCTAAATCTAGTTAATATGAGTTTTTAGAGAATACATAGTATTGGTTAATATTTGTCTCTAATTTTAAAAAGTCTATTGTATTTTATGTCAAAGTCACTAGTTGCCAGCAGATTCAAATAACTTACGCAGCACAGCTTGCAGTTATTTGTAAAAAACAAATTAGTACTGATAAATAAACATGCATCAATTGTTCCATAGAAATGTAACAAAAATATGCTTATAATTCAGAACTACACCTTTATAACATTTTATTTTGTCTGAAAACATAATCTACATTAAATAAAACTAACAAAATTTGTTTTGTCATACATAATTTTGTACAGTATTTATATAAATAACATCTTCTTTATGTCTTAGTCTAGTGTAAGAACATAATCTAAAAAGTCTTAAAATGCTGAACTTGTGTCCAATGGAAATGCCCAGTCTGAATTTGGAACAGTCCATTTCAAGTTTAAGGGTTTCCAACATTCTGAGCTACCAGCAGAATAGAGCCTGGCGTGACTTCAGGCTGGCCTCGCTTTACTCTGGTGGTAAAGGATTATCACTTTTAGTTCCAACAGATTAATGATTAAATCTAGTCATTTAACTTTACTACATTCCAACTGTAAATTAAATATATTTTTAAATTTGAAAATAAAATATGCAGTTATGACTATTTATCATTATTAATCATTGAACTATAAGTGTAAGTTTAAAGTTTCTTTAACTTTAGCTTTATGCACCAATTATGTCCTGCAATGTAATCTTATTTCACTAATGATGAAATTATTTCTATTGTTCCAGTTGAAGGGAGACAACTTTATTTTTTCAGCAACAACTGTCTTAAATTTGTAACTAGGACTTTCCACTGATCAACATAATATTGTAGATTTTGGCCGTCCACTGTGATCCAAGGGACGCAACTCTGTCCTGGTTGTTCCCACCTAAAATAATGAAAATGTAAAATCTAATAAACAATGTAATATTTCAAGAAAACAAAATCAGAAATAAGAATTTGATAATATTTTATGAACATCATTTCCCTTCTTTTATAAACACTCTTGTTGAGTTTCAGTACAATGTAATAACTGTAGTAATACAATAAGGCTCAATTTATATGGCAGTTTTCTTCCTTAAAAACATGAGTCACTGCCAAACAGGGACCAACAATTGACTATTTTCTTATTTCCAAAGGCAAAAACATCAGGGTACACAAATTTGACTTTCAAGGTCAAGGTCATTTACAAGTCAATATCAAAATGAAATTGATTAATTTAATCTTTTTTAAGAAATTGTCCTTAAAGTAGATGTTGTACTTGAGTATGAAGACATTCCATTCATAAATAACAGTTATAACTAATCATAGTAAAAATCAAGCTAAATTCAATAATTGGACATTCAAGGTCAATGTCATTGATAGGTGAAGAAGATCTTCATAAAGGTCTTGCCCTAAGGCTTATGTGTCAAAGTATAAAAACAGTCAATATACTAATAACAAAGTTAAAGCCAGGCAAAAATCAAGCAAAAGTCATATAGTTGTTTAAGATTTACTTCATTCATGAGTGAAAGTCAAGTTAAGTCTGGTCAACATGAACGGTTTGTCTAAAAACATTGTTATTTCCAAGTATGACAATGATCCATTCATAAAAACAAAGGTATAGCCAGTTATAGTTAAAATCAAGCAAGATAAAAAATTTGACCTTATATATCAAGGTCATTTATGAATACAGGTCAAGTTCAGTTTGGTTAGCTTGAAGGCCTTGTCCAAAGGGTTGTTGTGCCCAAGTATGAAGGCAATCAATAGAGAATTAAAAAAAAATATGATCAAAGATTAAGTTTTTGGATGGCAATGATAACATGACTATAACAATAGCTACTTTTTTCTTTTAAAAAAGTTGAGCTAATAAAAAATTGCTTTTACTAAAAAAAAAACTGGAAAATTTTTGACGATCTTCATCCATTTATTTATATAAACATTTCTGCCAAGTTTAAATTACATTGAACAGAGATGTTCTAAGGTCTGGATGAACATTCTCACTGAGTAGACTTTATGGGTTCATATTTCTTTATCTTCTTTGATCTCTAAAACCCCATTAACAACACTTCTTCACCACATTAGCAACTTTTCTCCCTGAAAGTACAGTCTGTATGGAATGAACACAGACAGGCATCCCATAATGTCACCTGAGTGTGTGCTCACATGCCACTTCAATGTACTAACAGGGGCCATTACTTTTTTTCTTTTGTTTTACAGAGTGTCCTTGGCCACTTATATTTTTTGTTAAGGAATGAAGTCGTATTTGTTTTTTTTTCAATCTGTTTACAACTTGATGACCCCCACAATCAGTTTCAACAGCTCAGACTGACTTACGAACAGACAAAGCTATTTCAATATCTCCTTTCTTATTTGATTGGCAGGAAATAACAAGAATATATTTATACATACCAGGCAGTAGCAGCTGACTTGGCCTGTAAACAATTAGATAGAGCATTTGCTGTCTTGTTAATTTGTTGTTGTAACATTGGCTGTGTTTTCTTCATTTGTTTCTCATCCTCAACTTTCATTGTCTCACATAAATCTGTAATATATACGGTGTATGTGTAAATAGTTTCCATAGAAACACCATAATAACATTGTAATGTCTACCCATCAGTTAGTATATAATTACAGCTCTCAGAAACAAATCTACCTTGTCTATTTGGCAACCATTTCAATTAACTTTTTAATCGTAACATAAAGATTATTTATAGAAGTCATACCAATAAGTTACAGGTCATTTGGTAATATTCTAGATTATGAATTGCTGGCAAAAGTAAATTTTAAACATTTAAAACTTAAGAAAGCTGGAGAAAACATGATGTATTTAAATATATTCTGATGTAAGCAGGTATCTTGGTAAACTGAATTCTTCATATTGCTGTAGCACAGCTGGGTGGCTTCCTCGTTTGAGAGAATTGAAACTTTTTAAAAGTACAATGTAAATCTTAACTACTAAAATCTAAACATTAAAGTAACATCACAATTTCCCCCATAACATACCATAATGAAAAAGGTATAAACTAAAGCTACACCTATCAAAGAGTCAGATTTATAAACAATTCATTTCTTCTTTTTGGACCAAGTTAGCATGTGCTTAAATGGGACATTTTTCAGTATTGAATTGAGAAAACAAAATTTTACCAAACGTCAAATTGTATATTTTGATACCATTTTGGGAAAATAGCAATTTCTAGCATTTGCAAAGTTCCAGATAAGCTGCGTATTTGTGTAAATATGCAATAATATTGTAAGGACCTACCCCCCTAGGGTAGTTACCAAATCCTTTTTTAATTTCGGGAAAACCCCCCGGGGGGGGCCCCCCCCCCGGGGGTTTTTTAACCCTATTTAAGTGCAAATGGCAATATTTTTCTACCCCCATATTAAAACATTTTAACAAGTAGCTGTTTTTTTTAAACTTTTCAGACATAGCTTAAAACACATCTTAGTCATCTTTGCTTTTTTTTTTTTTACACATAAGAGGTGGGCCCCTTCAACTTTCATAAAAAAAACCCATCATAGTTTTCATCAAGGGACCCTTTTGTAAGAAATTTCTGGTCACTTTGTCAGGATATTTATATAACCAGGTTTTTATCCCAAACCAAATTACTTAGGGTTTAGATTGAAAAAATATAAGGTGCCCTTTCCCTTTGGGGGGGGTTAACACGGGAAAAAACTGGGTACAAGACATCAGTAACCCCGTTTTAAAACATGAAAACTTTCTTTTAATAAGGGTGACATCATATATAACAAGGGGCCATCTCAATAAAATGTATATGATACTGGGGAATTCTATTCTGGACGAGTTTCTATCATAAAACCCGGTTTTTAATATCGGGGGGCCATTAACAATTTTTTTTCTTCGAGGGAATTAAAAATTTCCCGGGCCATTGACAATACTCGCCCAAAATAGAGGCCCTTTGGGGCTTTTTTGCTTTTTGGGGATCTTTTTTCGGTTATAAAACTTTTTTAGAACAAAAAAAAATGTAAAGTAGACAGGGATTTTGGGGAAATTTCAAAAGCCCCCAATACATTTTTTAGGGGTTCCTGCCCAAATAACTTTATAATTCATATTGGGTTTCCCAGCATCAAATAAATTTTTGGAAAATAACTTCTGTAAGTAAACTTTTTGTTGTTTACATAGTACTGGATAGCTTAACGACCAGAAAAATTAAAAGGGTAAGTTTTTAAATTTAAATCTATTATATAGTAAAATACCTTATAAGTAAAAATTTTAAGTGGTTGCAGGATATATAATATAAAAATTTTATATCAGACTTTAAATACAACTTAACCCTTAAAAATTTTTTAAGCTTTTTTTTGTTTTGGTATTTTCCTTCAATTTTTTTACTTTTAAAAGGAAGAGGGCCAAAAAGGACGACAGTCACCCCTATTTTAAATTTTTGGGACGCTACAAAGAGTCCCCCCACCCCAATTTTAAAAAAAATCCCGGTTTAAACTAGGCCCCAGTGATCAGTTTTTTAACAATATTTAAAAATTTAGCAATAAAATAAAATTTTCTAACGGGACTTTAAGTAGCAAAATATATGGTTTAAATTTGAAAACCCCACATAAAACCATATTGAAATAACATTTAAAAATAATTTTTAAAAAAAAACCCGGGGCCCCAAAATCCCTCAAAGGCGAAAGAAATTTATTTTGCAGCCCTATTCTATTACGCAAAATTAAAATAAAAAATTTCTCACTTAAAAAAAATATGAATAAAGACAGAAAATCAATCCGGCTCAAATCACCCCTTTTTAAAAATTTATTTTTACATAAAAAAAGAAACCCTAAAATTTTAAATGAAAACAAATATACATTCTTTAAAAAAAAGCCAGACCAAAATTTACAAAAAAAGGGGTATTTCCCAAAAATTTCCCTGTGTCCGCCTTTTTTAAAACCCATGAAAAAATAAACAGAAGAAAGCCCCCGTTTTGAATTTTCCAATAAGTCTGTAGAATTTCACTTTGCTGAAAATATTAAAAGTAATTTAAAAAATGTTCCAAATTTTTGGGGATTTTAAATCGGGAAATAAATTAGGGCCCATCTGACCATTTTGTGGCGAGAGTTATCTATCCTAATGTGATACTCTTTCTTAAAAGAGAACTGTCAAACAATGCTGATATTTCCAAGTTTTACGTTGTGTTTTTCGTTGGAATAAGTCCATTTGTTTAAAAAAAGGTTTAGCACTATTTGATCATTGTTAAATACATTTTAAGTAAGAACAGTTCATGAGTTATAGAATTATATATGCACATGTTGATTTCTGTTGAAAGTTATAACGTAAATTGTCATGTCAATTTGAAATGTCCAAAATTTGTAAGGGAGGTATTCCATTACACGCTCCCCACCTTAAAGAATTAGATACTTCCTGTATCTGTTTACACATATTTTTAAATTTTAAAGTCCATGATATTGTCCCTAAATTGTTTTACTTACTTTTATTAATTAATATTACACTTTATATTCCAGGTCGATGTGTTGAGGTTCAGATTCCTGATTGGAATGTGGTTTAAACTTTGGAAAGAAAATCCCTGTAGTGTCACTGGTTGTGGCGGAAAAGCTCTTGTGATATCCTGCTTAAATATATTGCGATGAGTGAATTCCCTGCTCCGACAACTTGTTTCTTCTGAGCGATATTCCCTGAATGGTTGTGAAATTCGCATGGGCGGAGTTCGAGCCTCTTGGTGAAAAACTATTTCTACGCTCTTTTGTGTTCCTCAAAAGTTTAAAAAATTTGGGAAAAAGCATCCAATTTATAAAATGCCCGGGTCGAGAGGTAGCCCCCCACTAAAATGGACAAAAAGAAGTTGCCACCGTCTCCCCAACAATAGAAGTTTAGTGTCGGCTGACATCGCAGTCTGTCTGGCTGGTGGCCAAACCCCATTTTAATTGGAGCCGGTTTTAAGAGGGAAAATATAACTCCACAGTTTTTTTCCCCAAATTTCCCCGCCTTCCCAGGAGGGAAAAAGAGGCATCTCCCCAAAGAATCAGAAGCAAAAAGTAGCGAAATCTACAAAAAGAAAAGGGACCCCGTCTCGGTTTTCCTTCCTTTTGCAAGATAAATCTTCTACAGCTGGTTCAAGTGTGAATAAAACAGTGACTATAGGAGTACAACGGGAGAAAAAAACTGGCATAAAACAGGGGCCCCACCGTAAAAAACAGGGATGATTTTTTAAAAAACTGTCCAAAAGATGTTTTAAAACCCTTTTCCGGAATCCCTTCTTTTTTTAAGGATGGTGTTTTTAAAAAAAAGTAGACATAAAATGGAAGTTGTTTTTCAGGTTTGTACTCCCAGGAAGAAAACAACGAGACTGTAGAATTTTGATGAAAAGAAAAGATTTTGCCCGAATAGTTTGACTGTGCCAAAAAAACCTGGAGTTGATACAGTTTGTGATCGGACGTGAAATTTTGAGCAATTTAGATTCAAAAGTTGATGTCCGAAAAGTTGAATTTTGTAACAGGAAAAAGTTTTTTGAAGTGGATACGGGAAGAGAAAAAATTAGATGTGGTTAGTTCTGAAAATGGTTGCTGTTTTTATAGGGTTCGGGTTTTCGAAAAGGGTTCAAAAAATCAGGTTCGGGAAAAAAGGTTTGAAAAAATTTTGGTGGCAACGGGGGAAAACGAATTTGGGTAAAAGAGAGGTAAAAGATGGATCTTCTTTTGTTTGGGGGGGATTTTGTTCACTGTTGGCTGGGTTTCCCCCATCTGGTAACTTCCCCTTTTCCCCCAATTGGGGAACCATCCCCGGGGGCCCCAAACACCCTTTGAGAATTCCCCACCACCTCTGGGAGATGACTTGCGGGGACCCCCACTGTTTGGGGGCCCAAATTTGGGGGCCTCTTTGCGTATGGCAGCCCATGGTCCTCATCAACCTATCCCCTGTCTCTCTAAATCCAAAAACTCTTTTTAGCCGTCACCCGGGGTAGTCTGGCCCTTCCCCTTCCGAAGATAATTTAACTTTCGACACAAGGGATCCTACCTCCATTGACTCAATTTCCCAAATGCCCGGTCTGGTTGGAGAGTACGACCTTTCCAAGTCACCCGCACTATACGGGACGGTTGAGGGGGGACCAGGCCTTCCCAGCCATGTTTCCCCTTTTTTTCGGGAAAAAGTAAAAAGGGGACACATAAACCCAAGAAGCCCCTTTCATCTCATGGATCCCCAGTTTTTCACTGGGTTTTCCCCCTTTTGATACCCCCTTTCCTGTATCCCCCGGGGTTCTACGGGGCACCCGAAAAAATCCCTTTCCTTTGGGTCGGGAGGGAAAAAGGTGTGTCCATACTTTTTAAAGACACGGACGATCTTTTTCCCTGAAATGTGACCCTGAGTTTCAACAGGTTTTTCGGGAATTTCTCATAACCCCCCAAAAGGCACAAATGACTTTAAAAAACCCCTGGGGGGGGCTTGTTCATTTAATCGTGCCCCAACCGATCTCTGCTGCCCAAAACCCTTTCCCCCGGCAGGCCCAAAAACCATTTGTGAACCATACTAAAAATTACGGGGTTATACAACTTTCTTTTTTAATTTTTATCCCA